GATGAGGAGGAACGCGAGGATGATGATGAGGAGGAGGCGGATGAGGAGGCGGATGCTGATGATGAGGATGATGATGATGATGATGATGAGGAGGAGGAGGAGGAGCAGGGGGAGGAGGAGGAGGAGAACGAGAAAGAAGAGGAGGAGGGGGAGGGGGAGGAGGAGGAGGATGAGGAGGATGATGGGTGAGGATGAGGAGGAGGAGGAGGAGGAAGAGGAGGAGGAGGATGATGAGGAGGAATATGAGGATGAACGCCAGGAGGAGCAACATGCGGAGCAGCAGGAGGGGCAGGAGGAGCAGGAGGAGCAGGAGGAACAGGAAGAGGATGAGGAGGAAGAGAAGGAGGAGGGGGAGGAAGAGGAGGAAGAGGAGGATGAGGATGAGTAGGAGAAGGCGGAGGAAGAGGAGGATGAGGAGCAGGAGGAGGAGGACGAGGAGGAGTAAGAGTAAGAGTAAGAGTAAGAGTAAGAGTAAGAGTAAGAGTAAGAGTCCCACGACAGTGTCCACACCTGGACGAGGAGGAGGAGGATGAGGTGGAGCAGGATGAGGAGGAGTAGGAGGGGGAGGAAGATGAATATGAGGAGGAGGAGGAGGAGGCGGGGGCGGAGGAGGAGAGGAGGAATATGAGGAGGATAATGATGAGGACGAGGAGGATGAGGAGGGGGAGGGGGAGGAGGAGGAGGAGGAGGAGGAGGAGGAGGAGGAGGAGGAGAGGAGGAGGAGGAGAGGAGGAGGAGTAGGAGGAGGAGGAGGAGGGGGAGGAGGAGGAGGAGGAGGAGGAGGAGGAGGAGGAGGAGGATGATGATGATGAGGAGGAGGAGGACGATAAGGATGATGATGAGGAGGAGGCGGAGGCGGAGGAGGAGGAGGAGGAGCACAGGCCGCTACAAGGATTCATTTCCAGTGCGGAAGCTTTTTTGTCGCAAGACAACCACTTGAAGACCCTAAGTCATGCCAAGACATTGTTTTCGGGATTCTCACACCACGGATTATCCTGACGGTTGCGTCTCGACAATCCCGAACCGTGCCAGAACAACATGTCTGGGACTTGCACATAGCGAACCAACATAGCTGTTGCACCCGCGTAACCGTGCATCTTTTCAAAACAACTTTTTTGACGCGTTGATGGTGGGAATGCGTGGAACACTTGCAACGCATGTCAAACGAATGTTCGCCGCACTACGGCGAGAGCCACATTTTGAAAACCACCCGCTCTCAATTTGCAAAACTTTTGTTATTTGTTAGAACGAATGTGCGCCGCGCTAGGGAGAACTTCGCATTTTGATATCGGCCCGCCCTCCACTTGTGAAACTGTTCCAAGTTCAAGCTTCAGTGTCAAACGTGGTGGGGAAGTCTCGGGCGGAACGCCCAGACCGCCCTAAGAATAGGCTTCGGGGTGCGACAGGGAGAAGGTATTTACCAGGAACAGGAACAGAGGAGGAGGAAGGATGAGGAGGAGGAGGAGGAATAGGAGGAGGAGAAGGAGGAGGATGAGGAGGAGGAGGAGGAGGGGAGGTGGAGGAGGAGGAGGCGGAGGATGTGGAGGAGGAAACGGAGGAGGAGGAGGAAGACGAGGAGGAGGAGGAGAAACACGTATAAGAAACATAAGCATGCATACAATGAAATTGGTCACACTAGTAGTATTTATCATATTATCAGTAGTAACCATATTACAAATAATGCTAGGCATACGGGTCGGAAATACAATTGTGCACAACAAGTCTACTGATAATTCCACTACTAGTATTAATACTATTGTTACTCATAGTCATAAGAATGCAACGCATACGAATCACGAAACTAATAATCGTAATACTGGGGCAAACAAGAACATCGTAAACTTGTCATTTATATTGACATTGATAAGGCTACTCATCGAAATCATAATGCTCGTACTACTAAGAATACTAATACGACATATCATGATCAAACTAATCAGAAGTGTAATGCTAATGAGAATATCAAGAAGGATATAAGTAGTATCAATACTCATAATAATGATACTAATGATAAGACGAATCATATTAATAATGATAATGAGAAGAAGGAGGAGGAGGGCGAAGAGGAGGATGAGGAGGAAGGAGAAGGAGAGAGGGAGGAGGAGGATGAGGATGAGGAGGAGGAGGACCAGTGTAAACCCAAGGGGCATCAATGGTTTTGGGAGCCTGTTTGAGTCCATTCGGAGAGACAAGCGTTTCGGTGGATGACCGTTTCGGCAAGGCCGAGGCGGCATTTTGGAGCAGCTTGCAAATCTTCCGCGGCCCCGCGAAGGTACTCAGCAAGTTAGGGGCTTGGTCAGCGGGGCCAGTCGCTTCGGCAGTTCTTGGGGCAGGGGCGTGGCATATCACAGAAAGCCTTCAACGACTGCGCAGCTGGGAATGGAACTTTCTCTGGAAAGCGTGTCGGATGCGTCGCAGAACCGAGAAGCACCAGTTCTCGTACCACGTGCGCACGTCGGCACTGATCAAAACATGATTTTCCAAGTTCGGCGTGCAGCCGTTGTTCATCAAAGTACTTAAGACAGCATTTCAATAGTGCTTGGAGGGAGACTCCCATGCCGCCGCACACAGGAGTACGATACTGGCCCGTACGCATAGGAGTAGACTATGCTGGGAAGTTTGTATGCACGATTACAAGATACGTCGCCGGGAAGACCTACTTCACGCTTGTGCGGGAAAGTTTGCTCTCTGGGAACATACTTTCTGTGTTTTCTGGGGCCTCGCATGGAGGGCCAAGCGGAATTCGCAGGCGACAGTGCAGGAATGGATGAGCATTTTCCCGGATTTTTGCGAGAGTGTTTGCGCTGCGTGGGATTTGCTGGCGTTTGGTATCAGCCGCCCTGCGGATGCCGGATGCTAGGTCGCCCCCCCGGCCAAACGGCTCAGAGTGAAACGATACGTTTTGGATGAGGTGCTGGCCGAGCTCGCCATGCCGGGATTCGGTGACAAACCAATGGAATGGAAAGCTGCGCGAGGAAGGTTGGTTATCGTGTATGACTGCAGACCCGTCGTGGACATCCTCATGGGTCATGACGTGCCGTTTCCGTCCGTGGAGCAGCATGCCCCGTATTCAGCTGGATCTCGAATCGGTTGGCGAAGTTCATTGCGTTAGATGTCTTATTACGCGGGCCATTTTTTGACCCCATCTTGTCGAAAAAGCGGGAGTTCCACCAGCGGGCCGATTACCCAGCGAACGTGACAATGGATATGTCGATTTCCTGGCAGAAGGTATACCCAGCAACGGGCGAATTGTCGTGTACGGGCGCCAATTCTGTCATCCATTGCGACGGCGGTCGACGTGGGTCCGCTTGCTCTTCGTTAACT